AAAAAAAAGTCGTTATTTTCCCTTTACATAACAACACGTTTATTTTGTTCTATTGTTCTTAATGTAACTTAAAACTTGGATACTTTAAATATACCCTAATAAAGATATTTTTTTTTAAAATTTTATCCTTTTTTCTCCAATCTAAATTAACAAAACTTTTATAATATCAATATAAATTAAAAAAAAAAATTTTAAAAAAAAAAAAAAAAAAAAAAAAATAAGAAAAGACTATGTTTTGTTTGTAATATCTTTATTTAATATATTTTATCCACTTTACGAATATGAGAATGTAGAGCATATATACATATATGATTGAGCTTAAAAAAGACGATGAGTAGTTAAAATACAGGACTTGTGGATGAATAAAAAATAAATTTTTGCTAAAATGTAACCTTCACATGTTGATTGAGCAGGATTTGGTAAATTAAAATTTTGATGCAAGTTTTTGAGTTTAACCAACGAATATGATCTTGAGTATCTTTTTGAATTGCTTCTGATAATAATGAGTACAAATTGGGGTTGGTTGAATGAGATAATGGATCTATACCACAAATTGACATAACCATTCTCCTATTACTACTTGATCTTGAAACACCTAAACCTAAACATAATTTCTTTAAAGCTGAATTATTTAATTTATAAAAATCCGCTTCATCACTATTATTATAACATTTACTTAGATTAACTTTACGATTTTGAGTTTTAAACCAGTTGTTGCAATTGATTTAAATGTAGGAACTTTTTCGTAAACCATCAAGTTCAATTGCAATCCAACTTTTCTCATCTTTTAATGTATCTTTGAGCAAAGTTTTAATGTTGCTACTTGAGGAATCTGAAATTGTTGCCAACCTATCTTTATTTACAATATGATTTAAATTATCTTAGGAAAAAATGCACTATCACCAACCTGATACGGGGCTTTTTTAGGGATGAAAAATGATGAATACGTTCTAAAAAGGTTCTAACCATATAGCTTAAAAGACCATTTGCATGAGGTTTACGAGGTACACATAACTGGAGATTTATTATTATCATTGAATATATTTCTCTTTTGAATCTGAATCTAAGATATATATTCTTTCATCAAGGGTGCAAACTTTAATTCCTACCAAATCATAACTAATATCACTCCTTTCACCTGCAATTCTTTAATTTGATCATCTGAAAAGTTAGTTGTTGATTGCTACTGTTTTGAATAAGTCTAATGAACTTAAAGTTAAATGTGAAGATAATAACTTTAATAATGAGCTAGGGAACATAAATGACCAAACATCAAATCTTTTTATATTTTGGTTTCTCTCCTCTGAACTATGCTGTTGTTGAGTATTACTAGAGGTTTTGAGACGGGTTATAAAAGGGTGTAATTTTAAAATTATTTGATATGAGTATTTCGATGCCATATTATAAGATGATTGATAATTGATTTCTCGATATTGTTGGAATCTTGCATAAAGTATACTTTTGTTTTTAATAACTTTTAAATAGTTTATATTATTCAATAAATAGCTATTATATGGTGTTGTTTGATAAATTGAATATTGCTATTTAATGATTGTTAAAGTCTAATTCTATAATTGAATCGATATTGAAAATCTTTAATTATAGCTGTTCCATTGTTATTGGTTTCTGTTTCTGTTTCTGTTTCTGTTTCTGCTTGATTATTATTATTATTGTTATTAATTGGTGATGAACAATTGAAACCTGTGTATTCTGAATTACATTTGCATGTACCTGTTGTTTTATCTCATATTCCATGTTCATGAATATTCTTTTTCTGTGGTATTATATGGATATATGTTACCACTCCATGTGATTGTATTTTGTGAAATTGACTTTTATTGAACCAATATTACCAGTTCTGATTGTTGATTTGATTTGATTCTGATGATAATATTAATTGGACACCAATCGATTCCAAATATTTGATCCTTTAGAGTTTGCTGATCTAAAAAGTGTTTTTTAGTTGTACAAACATTCTTTTATCGGGTTTTAAAATCTTCAATACCAAAATATTTGATATCGTAATTGCATACTTTACAATATTTATTCTTTCTTGAAGACTGTTCATAAATCAATTGGTTTGATGGTGTCTTTGCTAATGTTTGGGAATATATATATATGTTCATTGAAAAGCTAAATATTTGACATTCTTTATCTGCTTCACTGTTGGTATGCTTTATTTAAAATATATAGTTATTATATTTTTATTATTTAGTTTATAATAAAATAATGTTTATGGTGGTGCAGTATTTATTTTTAAAAATAAAAAAATAAAAAAAAAATTAAAAAAAATTAATTTTTTTTTTTTTATTAATTTTATCATAATTTTTAAAAGTGCACTTTTATAAATAACTGATTGAGGGAATATTTATTTATTTAGAGTTCACGTTTCGTCATTATTATAAAATACTTCCCCAGTTTACAATTATACAGGGCTAAAAGTGTATCAACTAGTAATCATCTAATGAAGGAGATTCCACTGGCCTGATGTGACGCAAACATTAAAATTAAAAATAAATATATACATGCACTTTAAATTTTTTTATTTTTTTTAAATTTATTTTATTTATTTATTTTTTTAAATATAAAAAAAAAAATTGATGAAAAAAAAAAGGCCACCCCATGGATCTAAATGATTCTTCATGATATAATTTGGTATTTAATTTATTTACAATTGATAAATAGTATTGAAAAAACCTGGTAAAGATTCGGAGGTGAAGTCGAATTTGGTGATGTTAGGGTGTTACTGTTATTGCTTGATGAGGACTGCCTTTGGTTTAGTAGTATATTGATTTTTAACTATTAATTATTATAAAATGTTTTAATATTAACTTTCTTAAAGGCTCCTTATAACTAAGACTGATTATTGAAATTTAAATATATATATATTCGATTGATTTTAGCTTTCAAGACATCATCTACATTATTAAATTGTGGTTGTTAGCTTGATTTATTTATTTTGATTTAATAAAGATAGAATGAATAAATAACCTCTATATACTTGAACAGTTCTATTTTTAATTAAAAGGAAAACGGTAAAAAATAAACATTTTATTAATAAAAAAAAAAATTTATTATCTTTTATTATATTTTATTTTAAAATTTAATGATGTTTCAGAATCCTAATTCTAATTGATGTTCCAATATATTTGCCTGGCCAGGGAAAATGTATTTCTTCCATCAAATAGATTATATTCTCTTATTATTATTTTTTTTTTTTTTTTTTTTTTTTTTTATAAAATTATTAATTATTATTGATTTACTAAAAGTTCTTTTCTTAAGCTTTGGGGTTGATGATGCTGCTGCTGATGAATGCTGCTGCTGCTGATGATGAATGCTGATGATGGTGATGGTGATGATGATGAGGACCAAGATGAATGCCAGTGAGGATGCTCATGTTGATGATAATGCTGAGGATCGAGACTAATGCTGATGATGAGGACCAAGATGAATGCTGACGATGAATGCTGCTGATAAATGCTGCTAATGTATGCTGCTAATGATGATAATGCTGAGTAACAAGATGAATGCTGATGATGATGATAATGCTGAGGACCAAGATGAATGCTGATGAGGATAATGCTGAGGACCAAGACGAATGCCGGTGAGGATGCTCATGTTGATGATGAGGACCAAGATAAACGCTAATGATGATGAGGAACAAGATGAATGCCGAGGATGATAACGCTGAGGACCAAGATGAATGCCGGTGAGGATGCAGATGATGATGATAATGCTGAGGACCAAGATGAATGCTGATGCGGATGCTCATGATGATGAGGACCAAGACGAATGCCTGTGAGGGATGGTGATGAGGGACCAAGATGAATGCTGATGATAACGCTGAGGACCAAGACGAATGCCTGTGAGAATGCTGATGAGGACCCAGATGAATGCTGTTTGATAACGTTGAGGACCAAGACGAATGCCGGGGGAGGATGCTCATGTTGATGATGAGGACCAAATGAATGCCGACGATGAATGCT